AATAAACCTTTAACATTACACCTATGTATAAACTTTCATACAAAAGACTCTCTGCATGTTTGATTACACACTTATTTTTTTGTTTTACACTAAAACTTTAGGTGTCAGCAATGCTTTTCGTTTCGCAACTTAGTTTTAAACTTTAGTTCCATTCACAAGATTGGCAATTAACTTGTTCCGCTTGAAATAAGCAATCCAATAAATGTTTCGAAAATTAACTTCGGCTATTATCAATTATCAATTTAAAATTCTCTAACAACAAACATTAGATTWTTACATTTGAAATATTTGTTTTCAACAAATTATGTCTGCTTTGACAAACGTAGCTAATTAAAAATTAAATCACCCACACAAAATGTCTTTAAAACACTTTGCTGATTATTCCCAATTTATTCGAGATGCTTCTGTGGGTGTTCATCCAATTAATTCTTTCTATCGTAATTTTTAGCAAAGTTTTTTTAATAAATAATGTTTCAATCAGTTTAAGTAACACATTTCACAATTGGATCCTATCACAAGCTACCACATTTCGTGAAAATAATCCAGGAAGACACGAAAATCGTGGCATAAAACCCATACTAGCTTTTATCATTTTTTGTAAAGATTGCTATTTTGTAACAAGTGTCCAGGTTAATAAACAAATTTTTGATCAATTTATAGCCACATAAACGTCTGAGAACATGAAAGTCTAGCGTGCATGTTCAGATACGATAAAATATGATTTATTAGAGTCTTCATCTTAACATTATTCCTTAAATGCCCTGTAACTTGAAATGGGTGTCAAATGATGCAAGAAATATGTAAAAAAGCATGATAAAGACACAAACTAAAAAATAGATTTTTTAACCATAATTATGTCCCAGTTCTGTTACATTTAACTAAGTAGTTTAGTATTTCATGCCTTGTAGTAATTAGTTTATCTACTAATTCATGCTAATGTCAACGGTAAAGGTTATAAGAGACAATAAAACTTCTGCAAGCTGCAATAAAGTATTTGCAAGAACGTAACAACAATAAATCTCATGAAATACACGGATTCTCGGTAATCAAACCAGCAAACTAATTTCATTTGCTCAATCAAAACAATATTCATTTAAATTGATTTTCAATTGTTGTGATTAATTATTATTAAATGTTTATTAACTTCAAACAAATCAACAACAATTTCAAATTGCCTTAAAACGGTAATATGGCATTTAAACGTATAGTTCACCCTATTTCAAATTGTAAAAGTCTATAAATCCCTCACGCAATAATAATAATAACGTAAAACGAAAACTAGGTAATAAAATATAAAAATACTTTCTCAGTCGTGGTTTAATCGAAGTGATTTATGTTTTAATATTTTCAGATTTCATCTCAAAAACTCAATCAGCTTGTTTGGAGACAAACATACATTACCATAGGTACGACGACATACGAATATCTAAAAGATGCGAGAAATTGATTTCGCCCACACAAGACAAAGATTGAGAAAAGAAGTAGATCAAATTACAGTTTTAATTGTTTTTTCTAAAACTGAGTTGTTTAAACTTTCGTTTTATAAACATGGATAAAGACTTTCAATTGGCTGCTAGCTTAAAATAACACAAAAATTTCAATTTTAATTAAACAAATATTTTTACATTGGCAACAAAAAACATCGAGTATATAGAAAGTAAGTTTAAGGTTATACTTCGATTGTATCAAGCCGTATAAAGTGCTTTCAATAACAGCTGCTTTTTAATAAAAGTGTCACTTTTTAAAGACCTACAAAACAATTTAAATTCCGAGAAACCACGCAATGAAACGCTAGATAAAAGATAAGATTAAACTTGTGGCAACATAAGGAAATACCAAGTCAATTCCGTGAAACTCAGGCAAAGTCCTCGCTGGACCTGTATCTGCAAACATATTTCCAATTTCACCTCAAAGTCATGTTTCAATTTTTCAAACGCATTTTAGATTTACAAAGCGAAAACTGTAAAGTTTTACTTCAGGACAGAGATATTAATTTTTTTCAGCACACGTTTCACGAATCGTCAAGAGATTTCATAAAATAAAAAATATCCTCAGACCTCACACTGATAATTGATTTTTTTATCTCTTTTATGTTTGTTCTTAGTTCAGATTTGCACTTTCACTATTGCGTTGGAAAAATGGCTTTGTTGGAGACAGTTATAATCATTTAATAATTACAATTACAGATAATAATTACAAATTTATTTCTCACTTTATTGTAATTGTATAAAATATGAATAATGACTTCTGTAAAAAAAAATTTTGTTTCACTTAAACTTGTTTTTCTTAACGACACTTTAATCGAGAAATGGGAAATACAATATATAATTTTCAAGAATTTTTCCATAATTTGTAGATTTTAAGTACTACTTCAATTGTCATTTTAATGTATCTGTTGACGTGGTCTCTACACACGGTTCTTTTACTACCCATGTGTAGTTACCTGAAATATATTATTATTATTATTATTATCATTAATTAACAATCAGTAATTATAAATTAAAAAATTAACATAWTTCTTTGGTTATCGATAACGTAAGCTACACCTTTCAAAATTAATAAAACGAATATCAAATTCCTAATGAAAATTTAAGCTATCTGAATAAATAAAATAAAACAAAAGTTGTATTATAGCTTGTAACACCCACCGTGAATGCATAAAATGATTGAAATTTKAAATGCCATTTCGTGATGTAAAATGTAAAATAATAATTTCCGAGTCAATAACATTATAGCTCATCTCAAAATTCGATTAATGATTTTATTAGTCATTCTGTAACATTCTGTAATATTAAATCAACTCAAATTACAATTTTTTTCTGAAAAACTATTACTTCAACTTTATAAAATATTTTCTAAACTTGAAAACAATTTTTTTTGCGTACCTACCTAATAAAATTCTATTTTTTTAAATTTTCCTCACGACGCGAACAAATCCTAACTATTCGGAGTTTGTGAAAAAGGCTGCCATACATTTTGTGAATCGAACCTTTTCGAACACACGTGATATGAAATACCTACGCAAGAAATAATGATTGATTCAATGAATTAAATTACAGTTTGTAATGAAAACTACAACGTTGAGCCCTCGTATATTTTCAGCTAAACATTAAAACGAAATTTTCGGTTGGTTTGCTGTGAGCTTTCATCCAGCAAAAATGTGCGAATGATTGCTTTTGCCACCTGAACATTGTCTGGAGAAATAATAATTTTGTTGTCTGAAAAGCGATCAATCACCTTGTCATAAATGGATCTCCTTTAAATTTAAGCCAACCGACAACACCAAAACTTCAACTTTTTTAAAGGAAATTCACTTTAGTGACAATATGTTATGTACAGACAATATACCAGCAATTTTCTATCGCTATCGAAATTCCTTTACGTAAGTCAATTTCAAACAAAATTCACTTGRCTCATTGACTCTGAAATACTTACTTATCACTGCTAAAATCTCATTAATAATTTTAGTTAAACACGTTATGATTTCAACCAATCAGAAAGCAAGAGTTTTATTGTTTTAGACTGCTGCTTTAAAACTCATTACTAAAATGTTAAAATACTTTTATAGAAAAAAATTCAACATCAAATTAGTGTGCAGAGAATTCATTTGAATCTAAAATTAAAAAGCTTTTTCATTTTATGCAAGGGATTATCCATAAAAATAAAAGTCCAACTTTTGTCATATAGGTATTAAAACAATAGCAAAGCAGCAAATACATTGAAAACTTCATGTACAATATAATTAACTCTTGGGTTTCCAGTTCTCATAATGATGTTTTAAGTAAAAAATTAATTACTTATCTGTCTGTCTAATAAAAGTCAAAGTAAACTTCTRTTAATCCAAAAATCACACATTTTCTGTTAAAATAATTAATGTAAATAATTATTGTACTCAAAGATGAAGAAAGATCATGAGTGTATTTAATGGTTATTTTATTAAAGAAAAAATAAACGGCAGAAAGAATAGGAAAGAAAAAATGTCAACATAAAAAACATTTTTTTWAATTTTTTCTTCACAAAAAATTAATTAATTAAATTTCCTGAAATCAGCTCTTCAAAATTACTTCAGATTTGATAATAATTGAGAGATTTTGGCTTTCTTATTCTCCGTTTCATTTTTGAGCAGTCACAGATTTGCAATTTCTGTTTTCTGTCACATATTTTTCGGTTTTTTGAAAGTTACAAGCGCTCCAATTTCATGCTTTTAACCTGACATAAAAGTACTCCCAATGTCAAATCATACATTTACCAAATGTCAATGTTTCAAATATGTAAACACATTTTTTCTTATACTTTGCGTCTCCAGAGACGTGCCAAGTTTACTATGTTCGCAAATACCAACAACAGTATCGAAGTCACTCCGAAAATATTTCCATATGAAAGCACTATAACAGGGAAACGTGTCAAGCCCCATGTTGGATATTTTGTAGACATATTACCTAAACATACACCAGTTGTATTACTAATTTTCCTCCGACAAATTTTTCATTAAAATCCCAACACGTATTCATTGCTTTATRTGCTTTAATTGTAATTTACCACAAACGTTAAACAACAAGTGACAAGAGAACACGAAWGTTTAATTGCCTCAAGGACAATACACGTATTTTAACTGTTTTGACCGATAATTAGAATTATTATAAAGAGGTTCTAATCTAATTTAAGCTGAACAGTTTCAGTTAAAAATCAGTTAAGAAATTTAGTGTTGTGATAGAAAATGATTAACTTTATTAAAATATGCGTGGTAATGGAAGCCCCAGCTGCGTTTACACCTCAAATTATTGCTATTAAGATGTTTATATATTCGTGTCAAGAAATTTACATTTAATCTATATGTAAAACATGTATACGAATTTACTAGAACAACCCAAATTGTGCCCATAACATGAGCACAAATCTTCCTCTTTTTGAATAGGAAATCGCCGGAAAACCATAAAAGAATCCTTGATCTTTCCGTGTTAGGGACACATACATCACCTATAATGTGTTTCGTTTTCCAGAATGAAGTACAAATCGAAGTAGCTAAATCAACGAAATGAAGCGCTTGCATCCCTCGCCTAGAAGATAAACTCGAAAGTCGACTTTTTTTTGTTTTCCATCCGGTTGATCATGAATGAGTTCGACGGCGTTGATAATTTTACCCAAGAAGGAATGTCAACAACTAGCATCTATCTGGAGGCAACCAACGATTCAGATCTGCACAATGGAACTGACTTTGGGATGGAATACGAAGAGTATATCTATGATAAAGTCTACATTAGGATTATATTCATCTCGCTCTACACTGTCGTCTTTTGTCTGTGCTTTTTTGGTAAGTGGAAATTTTTAATTCGATTATTTGAGGCGATAAATATCGTGTTGTTTACATTGCGATATCGAGCGCAATCTAATTTATGTCAAAAGAGATCACATCAGTCATGCCAAATATACATATATTAAAACCGTTGCGCGATATTGCCTAAACTTTATATTTTGATACCTATTTAAGACATTGCTGGTCAACGAAAGTAGCTCAATAAGTTTATTTAGTTAATTAATAATATTTAGTTCAACGATGTTGACCGGATTTGTATTATTTTAGGATCATTTGTATTGTGTAAAACCATTTTGAAAAGCTCCTACAAAGATTGCTAGGTTCTAGAAAATAAGCTTTATAAAAACTTAATTTGAATTCAACTACTATTATAAAAAATATTTGTTAGTTAGTTGGACACATCATTCATTAAAATTAAAAATAAAATATTTTGTTTGAAAAACTTTTCTATTATTTGTAGATTAACAGAAATAAATAGATAATAGATAATTCTTGTCTTTAAATTATTTTAAGTCGTTGACGTCATTTAAAGAAGATCAATAGGTACTCCAATAGTATCAAAATGGTCAGAATTGACAAAAACATATTTTTTTTATATTAAGGCCAATAATTCACCCATTAGTCGTAATAATTTTTATGAACACAATGAAACTATTATTTATAGAACCATTTCATTCATAACAGAACCAGTATCTCACCAATCGTAGTAATAAAACAGCGAAACCGTTCATTATTTCAAAAATGTTTTTGCAAGTTCTAAATTACATGGCAAACAGTTCAATTAGGGCCCTCTTTAAGTACATATTATAAATCTTTATTGAATTGTGCATCCTGACACTTTAAACTCCTTTTATAATGAAAACGTCAAAATGAATATTGGTTTTAGATAGTAGATGATTACATATGAAATGTCTCTTTAAAGAATCTCACTTATTGCATACTATATACGSCTGATTMAAACACCAAGCATTCAGAACACTGAAATTAAATTCAGCTCAAGATTGACAGATAATTTCAAAATGTAGGTCATTTAGACTGGACAAATAAAGAACAAAAGTGGGAAAACGGCGAGACAAAGCCATGTTCTAAACAATTGCACAAGTTTCTAAAACACATAAAACATGAGCTTCAACGGTCATAAAAAGCTTTCGATAAGATTTTCTCGCAGTAATATCGTAGAGTACAGCTGTTYCATTYAATGGGAGTCCTTCTGTTTCTTAGGTGTGTAAAGACTTTCAATTAGTCTGAAATTAATAATGGAACAAAATTGGATGTTTGCGAAAACGCAACATTGAGTACACTAACATTAAAGCTCTAAACAATTCAATTTTGTTTACCAGGGGCTCACTGTGTGCAAATATGCTGTCACCCACTCTAACAGAAAAATCCAAATTCGCATTCGTTTTGGTGAAATTAACTATGTAAGAATAAAAACTTTATGAGACATAACTTGTTTTTTTTTTTAATATTTTGTTAGTTATATTATATTAAATCTGACTGGTTTAATCTCGGTTTAAAGTTTTGCTCGTTTAGTTTTCGTAAACAATCTTTGTAGAAGTATCAGTAACGTCCAAAATAAGATCAATAGCCAAAGTTGAGTTTAAAGTTTATACATTATCTAAGGCATTTTAACTTGAAACTTAAAATCTTAACCAAAGTGCAACTGCTATTTCGTCAATAAATTAATGCCAACAATTACAAAAATTTTTAAGGATTATTGAGCGTCTAGACGCACTGTGTTTAGATTGTTTGGTTATAAATTAATAATTGATACTTCTGGCATGTCTGAATTTATAGGTAATAATAAGTAATATAAGTATAATAAGTAATAAGTAAATCATGGTACCGATACAGACGCCAATTAATCAAAATTCTCAAAGTCTGCTACCCTTCCAAACTTTCCAAGGAACCAATAATTGCAGCTAAATGTAACTTGATTAGGTGTGTACGTCTTATTCAAGCTCGAAAAGTCTTAAGCTTAAAAAAATTGAAGAAATAATTTATTTCAAATAGGTTTAATGTCTTATAATGAGTAATGACCAACAATTTTGTAAAAGAAACTCACAACAGAAACTTCTGGATTGACTAACTTTCAAAATTACTTTTCTCCAAAAGGCTGAATGAATTTTATTTACGAACCAGTTAAAAATGATGAAAAATWATTTCAATTACTTAAAAAAGCCACGCTTAAAAAACTAGATAAAATTTTCTTTGAGACAAAAATATTCTCGTCGAATTGCTTTGCTTAATAAAACACAACAGAACTAATTGAACATTTCCAGTCTCTATTCCCTTATTAAGCCATCTGGAAATAGTCTTACATTTCACTGCAGCAGAGCTGAAAATACAATAAATGAAACTACTTAATCTTTGTAAGAGGGCCATTTTATCTACTCATTAAAAATTGTAAATTTAGATCTACTGAAAATTATTTCAGATCTAATATAATTACTTCTTCTGTTGCCACCTGTTAACAAAGACTAGAATATTCCATTTTAATTGAGAGGGGTCTTTATAAAGACACTAATGATTTCCTAATTAAATAATTTTCTCATTTTTCCRATTTCAGGAAATTTGCTGGTTATTTTGGTCGTGACATTAAGTCGACGACTTCGATCAATCACCAACTTCTTCCTGGCTAATCTGGCTGTAGCCGACTTCTGTGTGGCTGTTTTTTGCGTCTACCAAAACCTGTTTATATACTTCGTCGACAGGTAAGATCGAATATTTACCCATTTTCCTAAAGAAAAACGACGTTAAAAAGAGTAATTTTGTAAATATTTTTAGTTTCCCCTACAAGAAAACAGGATATTGCAAAATATTAGGGTCAACAGATGTGAAAGCTTATATTTTTAACATTAAGCCGATAAGATTGTATAAATAGAGAAAAACGGCTTTTGAAGCTTTTTTACCAGTGATCAATTCACGAGAGCTGAAAAAGCTGCACTGGTTTCAGGCACAAGCCATCAAAATAAATCTATTTTTAAATCTTTAATGTTAAATCTCTGTTTTCTTTTATTTATCGCAGAAACATCAAAGAGTGGTGTTACACAATTATATCAAAATTAAGGAAAATCAAAGGGCAATCTCGTGCTAAATCGTATTTCATAATTTATCCCTTCAAACCATCTAATTTTTCATACTGAAAAAAAAATTGCTACAGTTTGAGCTCTCTTAAATTAAATTTATTTTTGGTCGTTTCCGCACCTCCACGAAGACAAAATCGTAACTGATATTTTTGTTCCAGCTGGATGCTTGGCGAGTTTTTGTGCAAGATGTACATGTTTATCCAATCACTTAGTAACACTGCAAGTATTTTTATCCTCGTTATCATTTGCATCGAGAGATATTTTGCTATCATTTACCCCATAACTTGCAAACAGATCCTCACGCCGAGACGACTTAGGGTAAGATATTCATCATAAAAAAAAAATTTGGAAAGTGTATTCGATCATCAATTTACAAACTAAATGAAAACACTAATTCAGACAAGCTTAGAATCTGTTTTGCTGTTAAACGTCGCTCCGAATTTACACTTGGATAAATCAAGTACGATCCTAACTTCTCAATTTGCTTTATTTTGAAATTTTTACTCGCGAATATATTCGTTAATAATAAGTAACTCTTTATTGCAGATTTTAATTAGTTTTCGGTCGATATTGGAGGTGCATGTGAGCACGTAGCAATTTTGCAGAATTAAAGCCAGTGTTCAAACCACAGATTTCAAACTTTTTTCCAATTAATTATTTCTAAACACTGCAATACACATTACACGATATTAAGCTCACATTGTTTTAAATAATGATAGTGCAAATGTCCAAAACTTTTAATTGTAACACTAGTTCTGCTTCGAAAACTAAATATATAAATATGACATCAAAACAATTTTCGAGTTCATAACAAATATTACCTTGCATGTTATAAAATTAACTTTCAACGCTTAATGAAGGTTTAAAATAAATAAAGTWTTCGCAACGTTAGTTTATGTATACAGACACTTTGCTGATGTATTCTACAGGTGTACCGTACCGAACATTATTTACTGTAAATATGTACACAAATCGTTGAACTGTTCCTTATTCCAATCACTAACAATACAGGGTCTCTCAGATTTGAATAAACAGTCTAATRTATTAAGGATATTCAGTATTGTTTCAGATTCAGTACCTTTTAAAAATTAAAAACAAACAATGGACTTTTGCAATTTTTTTAATAAACGGTTGTCTAGTTTTAAAGCATTTTCTTCTTAAATTTTGCTTCTGAAATGGAGAGAATGGCATGTAATATGCCAGTTTCAATCTGAGGCAAATGCCTAACACGTCCTGTTTCCCAAGTAGCGATCGATATTTCAGCTCAAATATAGGTATAATTCGCATAGCAAGATTTTAAAAAACCAGAAAGGAAAATTAGTGGAGAGCAAGAAACATTTTAATTGAATTGATTAATCTTCCATCAACAGTTTTAATTGAAGTGGCAAATATTTACCACCGGCTCTAATTTTAAGTTTGCAGAATCAACAAAAATTCGAATAAAAGCAATTTTCTAATTTAACTCAAATACCCAAATTCCATCGTAAATTTAAAGTAACGAATTCAATAAAATACCTACAAAATATCTGAAACTTTTTTATCTACTATCATTTAGAATAACACCGGCGCTCTAACTTTAGCTTAAAAGCTCATTTTACGAAATCAGAGATTCGTAATCACTCGAAAAGTAAATAAAACAACTAAGAATTTAATAATGTTAATCTAAATGCTTTACGGGCTATTTTCGAACGATTTGATAAAACCTAATCCGAGAGGATAACAATGAAATTAATCCATCTATCAATCATATTTGTCAAAATATATTTTTGTTTGCTACACGATTAATTAATTTTTTGCACCATTTTTGCAGAAACAACTGCAAAAAAATTCTTTTAATTAAAATGGAAGTCACTCATTTGAAATGAAATTACAACTGATTAAAATTAATTCCACCAAGAACTTTAATTAAATTACAAGAATTTCGTTCAACTATTTATTTTGTAGTAAATTTTATCTTTTCTTGAGAGCGATGAATAGGGAATCAATGGATAATTGTATTTATGAAATATTAATAAAACGGTTGTATTGCAAAGAAGGTTTCCGTTCAAATGACTCTATTAACATTTTCATTTTGTTGTAGTTAATCATTTTAGGAGTCTGGATTACATGCATCCTCTACAGCGCTCCAAAATTTTATTGGGGTAACACTGTAACAGTCCCCACGAAAAACATGACAGAGACTATGTGTGTCTTGAACAGGACGAAGTATAATTCGGAATTGTTCGACGTGACTCATTTCGTTTTGTTTTACAACATCCCTCTAATTATTATGTCGGTAAGTGGGTTTTTATTACTCTATCCAAAAGAGAAAACTTCTCTAACAATAATTTACAACCTGTAGTAAAACGCTTTCTTTAATTTTAATTTTATGATTCTTAAAAAAAAAAATTACATCTTGGCCCTCTTCCATTAAAATAATTCATTTTGTGAAAGAGAAATCTATATGTCAGTTTAAACATGATTTTTATTTCCTCAAACACATCGAAAATGGGTTATTACATCAAAAGTCACGTTCTCTGTAGCTTGTCGAAGAAGTAATTTTAACTCCTCTCTATTATCAGTGGCAAATGAGCAAACGTGTTTAGTTTCACTCTAAAAAATTATATTTCGATCTTTTGCAGTTGCTCTATTCGAGGATTGCAATTTGTCTCTGGAATAGCTCTCAACAATTGAAAAAACAACTCAACGCTTCCACCAACTCTAATCAGTATCAGGGATTGTGTCAACGACAATCCAGTCGATATCGAAGCGATAAAAAGGTAGGTTTTGCGTTAGTGTTTACACCGGAAAAAATGCTTTATTTAGTACGTCTGATTTTCAATAAACTATACAAATATGAAACAATTAAAAAACAATATTTGCAGTTCTCGTGCAGTTTTTATCCGCAATGCAAATTTGTCTTTGACTTTGACATTGTGAATTTATAAAGTCTAACTTATCTATTACAAGCTTTATTAGAGTTATCAAAAAGTCACAAATTTTAAAACCAGTTTTTTTAGTTTTAATTGTGTTTTATATGCCGCTAAAAATTGATGAATTCCCTAAATCATTTTATAACAAGCTTCATTTAGTACGAACTTATAAAAACTAACTTACAAAGTTTCATAATATTGAATTAATAGGTACTGAAATAGCATTGCTTGAAGCTTTGCAAAACAGGAGAGAAAATTGCTAGGTAAATTCTATAAACACTTCATTATCTCAAAATGTGCTTTGAGAGATTTAAGATATGCAACCATTGTAGAATTTTAGATGTTTGGATGCAGAATGCGGATGTTATTGTTTTATTTGTTTTCGAATATCTAATTTCAATATCTGATTTCTTATCAATATTTTAAAAACTGCAAGACCAAAACCAAAAACCAAAATCTTTAATTTGCTAAATTTAAGATCCAGATGTCGGAATAGACCTAACAAACTAAATACGAAACAAACGTCTTTGTTTTTTTTTTAAATAAGTTTTTGGTCAAAGAACAATTTGCGTATTTGCCAAGATTTAGGACTAATCTCCGGAGAGAACGTGAAAAAAAAATCTTACAACTGATATAAAATGAAAGAACTATATTCCATATTATCCTATTAAACGAAATAATGTTCAAAATTCCACACCAAGAATATTTGCGAAGTATCTTACAATCTAATTTTTTTTTGAAAATGGTATATTTAGGAGCAAATGCTAATTTTAGATCCAAAATTATTAAAACTTGCATTTACATTTTATTATAAAATAAAATTGTAGGTCAATAAATATTTTTCGTGTTTATTTATTTGGGTTATACGTCGGGAATATTATAGAAGTGCAGTCGCACCGCTTATAATACTAGATTGTTCCTAATCAATCGAAAACCATAAAACCGCAAACGTTTTTATTTATTTTTATGTAGAAAACAATTATTGAAGTAAAATTTCAGATCAACTCTAATTATATGAGTTTGTCAACTCACTATCTTGAAATAATAAAGGATACATGAGCTCAGATTTAAAAAAATTGGCAAGCGCTGCACCACAACAAAGCTCTTATTCTTTCATCCAAAAGATAAGCGTACATACCTTACTTATGGTTTAAAGTTTCAGTGTTTAACCTGACATAATAAAAAGAAATTTCAGACGGTTTCTGCTTTAAATCAATTCTCCTTGAGTAAAAATCTATTTCTAGTTTGGTGGTGACCTCCACTTTATGTATTCCTTGTCAGTACAATAATAATGTTTGTTATTTCTATAACACTTATTGACCTTTGTGACACAGAACATGTACATGTTCTCAAATTAGTTAAAATGAACAGTTCAGAGATTTTGTATTGATTTCGCTTTTGGCTCATGTGTATCTGCTCTAACAGGGCTTTATGTAGTAACGTAAAGGGTAAAACACAATCAAATGTAGATCTAATCGGCGCAATGTAAATCCTAATAACTTCGCTCAACTGTTTATTAGAAGGGGACTTCATTACCAAATTTACCAAAAGCTTTATTCAAACTCATAAAAACTTCAATTTTTTACTAACCAATCGCTTACATATATCCACTTTCGCACATCTGTTATCCCATTTGCTCGATCAAATTGCCGCACACATTGTCGAGATTGCATACATCACATTTCAGGTGGCCAACGGCGCCGGCGACGCCAAACTCTTGCAAAACTCCTCATCGAATATGCCTGCGAATTCGAGCCAGAACGTCCTTGCGGCTCGCAGAGGCGTAATCAAGATGCTCATAATCGTCGTTTGTGCTTTTGCCGTGTGCAACTTGCCCTTCCACGCGAGAAAAATGTGGCAATATCGGTCATCCAATTATCACGGGGATACCAACTTCAGCGCCCTCTTCACCCCATTAACTTTCCTCGCCACATATTTCAACTCGGGAGTCAACCCTTTGCTTTACGCCTTTCTATCAAAAAACTTCAGAAGGTGAGTCGGACAATTTCTCGTTATATTTAACTGCAGGGATTATTGACTAGGGGCATGAGGGAGATCCTGCTGTGCTCTTGCCGCAGGAGGAGGCAGCAGGGAAATCGGAACCATCTGAGTTTGCATGTGGGCATTCAGAGGCATGCGTCCACAAGATCCACCGTCAAAGCCAACGCAACAACGGTCACGATTGTGAATAATGACCACAGTTCAGAATGTTCACATGATGTATGAGGTTGCGCTTCCTGTCTCTACTGTTCAAAATACAGTTAAAGAGACAGAAATGAAATAAAAGTGTTTGTATATGAAAACAGTTTTATGTTGAGGAGCTTTAAAATGTTACAAGTTTGTGAATTTGATGTGATGTAATATTCTAAAACTGAGCATTGCAGTAATAATGACTCAGTTATAAAATATTACTTATCTGTGTTTGTAAATACTTAAAATGAATTTAAGCAGTATGTATTTTCCTACTTGTTTCAAAAGACTGTAAACTGTATTTTATAATAATTAAATAATATAAAGAAATTTATTCAGTTTTTTTTTCCCTTCATATTCATTTTATTTATTAGATGTTGAAACTGTGATATTAGTGGAGATAATCTTCAATAAATTATTGAAACACTAACTAATCCTCCAGGATCAAAGCTCACGATCAGTGAAATCAGTTAATATTATTTGGCCTGTGTGAGCTTTCCATCATATGTGGTAATAATGATATACTTGTCATAAGCCGCACGAGAGGGCTTAATTTACATTCTCGTGATTTATATGCAAGTAGTAAATATGTTTCTATTGGGACTGTCTATTAAATTACAAATGCTTCAAACAACATAAATCTTTTTTAAAAATGGAAAATAGTGAAAGTCATGTATCAACACTAGCTAACCATAATTAAATATTATATTAAAATATTTTATTACGAGTAACACACTGTTAATTAGTAATCGGCCAAATCATGGAGACCGTATTAATATTAAACAAGATCAAGATCAAAAAACTGTTTTCATATAATTCACAATAGACTGACCGTGCACAAAAGGCTCAGTAACACAGGTGGTATTAATGATAGCGACGGGAGCCAACATGCAAAGCTCTGCTTCAAATTAGCTTTTTGTTTCAAAAGAGCATTAAGTATGTGCTTTCTGAACTTTATTCCATTAAACAAGAACCAAAATATTGAGAAAGTATGTAATCAATAATTAATAAATGAAGAAAACACATTATAACTCTCAAAACAAAAAAATTATTTCAAAAGAATTTCTTCTTTGTAATTTCATTACTAGTTTTATGTATAACCAAGACATGTAAAATAAGCAACTGAAACAGAATACTAAATATTAAAAAAAAATCTAAAACAAATTCTGGAAATTAATTAAACCAAATTAAACTAAACTTTTAGCATGCAACATACATTTAGAGACATTTTTTAACTCTGAACATACAATTATTGTTTTCAGCAAAATTTTTGCTATAACTACGTTTTATTGGAATTACCTTAATGACGCTTCTATACACCGACCCTTAATGTTTTGAATTGTAGTTGTTAACATAAAAACTCAACTCTTTTTCTTCATTATAAAATTGAGTCTGTGCTGGTTGATCTATCCGCTGAAATGGCCCGATTACATTTAATTGGAAATTTGAATTATTGATGTTGACAATGTATTTAATGACTTAATAAAGATCCTGTTACATAAGTAAGCAAACAGTAGAAATGTTTACCTAGTTTCAGTGAGTCAGTTTTGAAAGAGCTGAGTCAAAAAAAAATTGTGTATGAAACGCTTTGTAACTTCTCGTATGTGAGTATTTATAACCAAACAATTTATCTCAATTATTAAAAAATGGCTAAAAAATATATGACATTCAAAACAAATTGTTTTTTTCTACATTCCACGACACAATTATTAGTGTTTAGTAAGCTAGCTTCGAAAATTCTTCCGGTGATAGCTATCGAATCTTAAAATTGTGAATAAAACTCGATTACATCGATTATTAGCCATTCAGGGTAAGCTATTCAGCGATATAAACTTTGACACAAATATCAACCATTGACTTTAATAATCCCATTCCAGGTTTAAAAGAAACAAAAAACGTGTATCAAAAATACAAATCAAAAGCTTTTTACGTTTTTATTTATCTTTAAAGAAAGCTAGAAAGCAACACTACAACAAAATCATTACATGTTTTGATCAATCCATTCGTTATAGGCATAAACCGACGTAAACACATCTGGCTTTCCGGTGGCGCACGGTTTTCCAAAAGACACAATTCCGGTAAACTTCTCATCGCAAATTAACGGTCCACCCGAATCCCCCTGACAAGCGGAATTTCCATCGCTGGTGGTACAAATCACGTTGGGATTGTACGCCTCCTTCCATTCCTTCTCACACTGTGTAGGACTCACAGGATGCACTTCTGCCACTTTAAATTTATTGGAGAGTTTTCCACCAGCTTCCGTCAAGCCCCAACCCATGACGTAGCAAGGATTTTCATAGTCTGATAAATTTGATTGCATTCTGACCGGAAATGAAAATTTGTACGATGTGACCGGCTCTATTTTTAAGACCGCTATGTCGTTTATGACTAATTTTGGATCATATTCAGGGTGCACCGTGGCGGAAATTACTTTATGGGTGGTTCCACCCTTATCTAAAGAGTCGCTACCTACGACAACGACATTTGAGCGGTCGCTAAAAACGGGGAAAAACGATTTGAGAATTTTAGACAAAATTTTGAGAAGGTCTAACCCAGCGACGCAATGAGCTGCTGTTACCACGTGTTCGTGGTCGATTAGGGTGCCTCCACAAAAGTGATGGTTGTTTGAGTCGCGCAGAGACACGGCGTAAGGGTAGTCAGATTTGTTTGCCTCAAAGCCGCCCACAATTCTAGTTTCATCTTCTTCTGCTACAATAAACAGACAAACTGGTGCTAAAAGCTGAGCAAATAATACAATTTTTTACCCAAACACAAATTCTGTCCAGAATTTAAAATTAAAGTCACCGAAAAATAAAAACACAAACGTTTCATATTGAATACATAMGTGTAGGTAAACATTACATTTTTACACAAGTGTCATCTTTTATACTTTACTGTAATCTACACTTTACATATCACGTTCTAAAAACCTCACAGTGGGTGACTTTGTGCTAATCTCTGACATTATATTAATTAAACAGTAGGTACATGCCCCAAATACAAAAAAATCAAAGAATGTACAGTTACTTACAACATTTATATAATAAAATTAACAAAAAAACAACAATTTTAAACCTTAAGTTTGTATTTGAGTTAGTTAGAAGATAAACATTTTAAAAGTCTCCGATTATACAAGCTAAGTGGGGTTTAGGGGGCACCAAAAATATGCCGTTTCATGTTTTCTTCGAAAACAGTGAGTATTCTAAAAAAAGTCGTACCCATGTCCAAAATTTGTTTTGAAGGTTATCCACAAGACAGTCTTGAGAAGATTAATGAGGGTTAATGATTGCCATGAATAAATAAATTAAACAAAATTTATTAAAGAAATTATAAATAAAATTTACCTAAGGCCCCTCAAGTTACTTCTCATAACTTGCCAGCAAGTTGCTACCTACATATTCCATATTTTCATTATTCATTCAATTAATTTTTAAAGTCGAGAATGATTGGCTTTTCACGTTTTTATAATGGCCGCCTTCAATCGGACCAATCTCATTTTGCATTAAATTTTGAATGAATCCAAAAATCTAAAATGATTTTTATATTGTTATAATGGCCGACCTTAAACGGCCCAATCACAATGCTTTCAGCTTTTACGATAATCCTTACGTTAATTCATTAATAGTAATTAAATAAAAAATAGAGTGTGACACTTGTTAGGGAACATCTCCCTAAAGATCTTTAACATACAACAATTCAGAGAAGTCTTTTATAAGCTTTAATTTTGTCCAAAACAATTTTTCTCGTAACATGCGCCGTTTTTTGAATATAATCGAAAAAGCATAAAACGACCCTTTCCTCGCGTGTCCCTTTGCGCCCCTCTCACGCCGAAAAAACGACTTTTAGAAAGTGTATAGCCTACTCATTTACTTATTGAATCGTAGGTATTTCATTATAATTATAATATTTTCATAAATTGTAATCTTATTGAGTTAAATAAAAAAAAACAAAATAACGATACAGAAAACTGTAATTTGGTTGTCCATAAACCTAACCTGTTTTTTAGATTGTAAATACAAATAATTTGTTTGTAAACAACACATTTTTACTCAATTTGTTAAATACTACAATGAACGATTGGTCGAACCTTCAAGTGAATAGAATTTGTCGTATTTGTTTAAACGAAAACGAAGAAATGCAACACCTATTTGAAGAGTGTTTGTCAGAAAAATTAAAAGAGTTAGCAGCAATTGAGGTATGTGACCTAATTCGTGACACAAACTCTAGCTCAATTTGMTTCAGATTGAAGAAAATGACGGTTTACCCAACCTGCTTTGCAAGATCTGCCTCCATGAAGTCAACCGTTGGTACTCCTTCAAACTCCAAGTGGTTAAAAGCGATGCAACGTTACGTTGTATCCAAAAAGAACGTGAAAGTATCAAGTACAATACAAATAATGAAAACAAAGCCGACTCTTTACGTCACGCTAAAAAATTGCATGATTTAAATTATGACCCAAGCTCAGATTATGACATACATGAAGCTGAAGACACCTACCAAAGTGACCTGAAAGCAATATCCAAACCTCAACTATTCCAATGTGACATTTGCAAGAAACAAGTCAAAACGATTCATTCCTTGCGCCGCCATATGAAGATCCACAGTGGAGTCAAGCCCCATATTTGTAACATCTGCGGGAAAAGCTTCATAGAGCCCGGCAATTTGACAAAACACTCTCGTAGGCACACGAAAGACAAGAAACACCAATGCAATGAATGCGGATTGCGATTTTACGAACGCAACAAACTTACAATTCACATTAGGACTCATACTGGCGAAAAGCCCTACTCTTGTGAGGTTTGCTCTCGGGCTTTTGCCACTCCCGCCCAAGTACAAATTCACATGAAAACTCACACTGGAGACAAACCTTACACTTGCGATGTCTGTCAGAAATCCTTTCCCTACAGTGGCTCCTTAGAAACTCACAAGAAGATCCACAGGGGTGAAAGGTCGTTTATTTGCCCCGATTGTGGCCGGTCATTCTCCCAAAAAGTTAATCTTGACAGCCATATAAGGACGAGACACACTCATGAATGTCCCTTCATGTGTAATGATTGCGGAAAGGCTTATCCCACCAAAGACCAGTTGAAAAATCATCTCAGACACCACACGGGCGAAAAACGACCGTTGAAACACACGTGTAATGTTTGCGAGAAGAGTTTTAGGACTCCGGCAGAGTTGAGAATACATATGAGGACTCACACTGATGAAAGGCCGTACCAGTGCGATTTGTGTGGGAAGAAGTTCAAAGCATCGTCACATATGACCTCGCACAGAAGGATACATACAGGGGAGAGAAATCACTGTTGCATGTATTGTGGCAAGGCCTTTAGGGAATCTTCAACTTTAAAAATACATGTAAGGATACATACAGGGGAAAGGCCCTATACTTGCAGTATTTGTGGGATGAGTTTCACGCAAAGCAATACTCTTAATACGCATATGAAAGTGCACGCGCCAACTACAGGTTGAATTTTTATTTTGGTTGCAAAAGTGTGTAATACGGTGAATACATTACTTTTTCTACTGGGAAAATATGGTAAGAACAGTTTCAAAGTGGTGACCCATTCAAAAAAAACATTTTATCTCAGTTCTATTGTAAACAAACTATAAGAATAATTAAGGATGAAAAACATAATTTTTTATCAAAAAAAGTTCCTTCTATCAAAGAATTTCAGGAGATATTATGCAAGTATGCTAGAACTAGAGCAATTATTCACCTTTTGATATTTTAAAATATTTCACTAGACATTGAACTACTTTTTAGATTCTCTTTGTGCATTTTTGCAAGAAAAGTATTTTATTATTATTTATTACATACATTAATTTATTATGTAAATAAAAAAAAATAACAATAACACTTAATCCATTAATTGAAGATTATCAAATTTCTCAGTATCATAAAAACTGGCCTTGACTTGCCTTCCCCCAAAGAACCTTCCGTTCAAGTCCACCACTGCCTTTATCGCGCTCTCTATCCTCCTGAACTCCACAAAGATCCTCACAGCCTCCTCAGGGTTATCCGCCTGAGTTTCATGAATAATGACACTTGTGACTTCCCCATATTTTGTGTTACATTCATCTTTGACTTCAGGTTCTAAATCGTCGTCAACTTCTCCCGGCCCTACCATGTTTTTTAACAACACGACTTTACTGGGATTCTTAATGATTTCAGTAATGCTTTGTTGTGGGTTATTGGTGGGGGCCTCAAGGACCGGAGGCGAGGCCGTCGCCGCAGCTAATATTTCCTTCTCATGGATAATCCTTCCGCCCCGTTTTGAAGTCTTTTCGACCTGTAGGGCGCTCGCCATGCCTTGCTCCTGTTTGCCTAAGCCTTGGCCCTCTTTGAATCCATATTTCGCCATGATTTTGGCGGCAACAGAGGACCCAAAGTTGGCGGCCGGTGTCGGGGGTTTGTTAGGGAAAATGGGGGTTGGTTCTGCTGTTTCCTGGAGACTCGGTGGGGGCGCGATTGCCACTCCTGAAGCMCGAGGTTTGGCTTGGACAGGCTCCATTTCTTCGTCTTCTTCGGCCCACCTACCTACAATAATCAAATTCACAAATGTGATAACATTGTGAGGGAAAATAGAAACAGTAACCTGCAAATCCACTCGCGAGTGGCGGTTGAGTTATCTGCGGTGTGGGTATGACTAGAGGCTCCTCAGGGTCGCTAAAGCGCGACTTTCTTTTTCTTTCTCGCCGTTTTTCTTCTTTATCGTTTTCACGTTCGCGATTTTCGCGTAATTCTTTGACAACTTTATCGAATTCGTTTGGCCATAACGGATCATACTCGTCGTCAACGTTCCAGTCATACTCAATGCCGTAAGTCACTGATGAACTAAGAGTGGGTAGACTTGGCTCATTTTTTACTTTTTGATAAGTTGGGTAAATGTCGTCATCATCTCGTTTACTTTTCAAGTCTATCACTGGAGCTAAACTCACTTTACGTTGTTGCTCACGTTTTGGTTGTGTTATTGTTGCTTTCTTAAGCTGGAGTTGGGACTGAAGAAGTTTGATTCCGGAAGACCAACCGGAGACCTTTTCGGTCGCGCGGGCCTTCACATCAAGGTCATCATATAAAGACATGCTCAATTATATTAAGAAACCATCCAATTACACTAAAAATAATAAAAACCAAGGCTTTATGTGGATCACAAACAGAGGTTATGTTTGTGGATTGATGTCAAACAAACCTCTCTAAGTGCAAAAGCAAAAGTGTCGAAAATTTTTCAGTTCGAACGATGTAGGTGTGCTTGAAAAAATAATTGTTTTCCAAATGTACTATCCTGTCTGTAAAGAAAACATAATATAAAAATTTAATAAATTATACTTTATTTATTTATTCTATATGGTAAGACCAATAAGAGAATTTTCGATCTGAATAGCATTCGTTTGCCGTGACAATCAGTTGCATCAGTTTCTGCAATAACTAACCGGAATGGCCGCATTTCGGTATTTTTCAAAAAAATTGCTTTCAAATACACTAAAAACCGACATAAGGGCACAAATAACCAACAATTATGTAGTCTGCGTTCGCCTCTTAAGTCACACACCCTTGCAATACGGTATTATTTTTTTATATTTTTTTTATAAAAGTAATAGGCAAAATTTGAGGTTATTTTATCACGATTTTAGATGGGAATCCTGATCCCGGCCCTCTTTTTATCAAGAAAGAAGTACAGTCGCTTCTCAAGACCCTAACTCGAGTGGATTTGGCAAGAGTTTACAGAAAAAGGAAATTGGGTGGGAAACAATTACAACAACCAGTTTATAAATTCATGACTGATGAACAACTCCAAGAAGCTCTAGAAGAAGCTAAACAAAAAGTCGATGAAATGATTCAGATACCACCAGTTGTTAAAGTACGTAAGCCTCGTAACAGAGTCTTGTCGCAAGATCCTGCTCTACAAGGTTTAGAAGCCTCAAATTTAATTTTTACTGACATATCTTACGGTGTCCCCGATTCTGAGAGGATAATTCTTATAAGGGACCCTGAAGGAACGTTAAAAGAAGCCGATTGGCAGACGCGGGATAGAATTAATCAAATGTACTTTCCTATAGCGCGGCGACAAGTTACACCCCCAAAAATGTTTGAGGATGACAAATTAAAGGATTTGTTAAAGAGGGGCGAATATAATTTTATTCTAGACAGGGCATGCTTGCAGTTTGAGCCAAACGATGAGCTTTATCAAAAAGTTTGCTCAGTTACGTACCAACACATTAATGAAAATAACAAATTTGATGATATTAGATCTACTAGACATTTCGGTAGTTTTGCTTTCTTCATCACTTGGCATAAAATGATTGATAATTTGTTACTTGATCTTATTGAAAGCGAGCATATTGATGAGGCCAAAGCTTTGGTTGAACTTTATGGACAACTACATGGGGAGAAATTTAGGGGTAATTCCGTTGAGGAATATATTACGAAATTTTCAACGAAAAAAGCAGCCCTTGAGTTGGCCCTCCAAGCATATAAAAACGCCGCCAAACAAAGGGAAGAACTCGAAGAGGGGATCAAACGAGCCCACGGACTTAGTTAAAAATAATCTCTTGTACAAAAAACTTTGTAGAAATTGTCTTTATTAAACAGTCATTACAATTACTTAATATTTTTTAAAACGCTGTGATTTACAACACCCGGTGTGGTAGTATACTCTTTGCTTTTCCCAGTAAGTGCAACAAATTGTTCGGCAATCTCAACAGCCACTCTGACTTGGGCTTCGGCAGTGCTGGCCCCAAGATGGGGTGTCGCTACGACTTTTGGATGTTGGATAAGTTCCAAAGTGACAGGATCGGTTGGGGGTTCCTGTTCGAAAACATCGAGTGCGGCCCCACCGCACTGACCCTCCTTTAAAGCTTTTAACAAATCAGCCTCATGAATAATACCACCTCGAGCGACATTGACAATTCTGACGCCTTTTTTGCACGATTTGAACACTTTTTCGCAAATTAAATCTGCAACAAATCTGCTGTAGCTCTATTAATTATCATATCTCGTTAATTACTTCGTGTTTGTGGGATTAGAGGCGTGTGCACTGTGATATAATCAGCTTGTGGCCAAATTTCCTCGAGAGTCATTGATTGCACGTTGAATTTTTTGGCATCTTCGACGGATACAATGGGATCATAACCGATGGTCTAAACAAACAAATTAGGAAAAATTAATAGAATTCTTTTGATTACCTTCATGCCCCAAGCTTGCATTCTAAGAGCAACCTCTCGTCCAATCCTTCCTAATCCTAAGATGGCCAAAACTTTGCCACTAAGTTCATGACCGGCATATAATTTTCGGTCCCATCTTCCCGCTTTGAGGGAAGCTGCGGCTGGGGTAACATTTCGAGCGAGGTTTGTAATTAAAGCACATGTTAATTCGCAAGCACTTATGGCGTTGCCCCCCGGGGTGCTACAATTTTTTTTATTGTAAGAAAATTAAATAAATTAGGGATATGAAAATTACTTGAGAACTAAAATGTTTTTGGCGGTGGCGGCATTAAGGTCGATGTTATCTACCCCAGCACCCGCACGTCCAATAACTTTGAGGTTTTTTCCAGCGGCGATTACATCAGCAGTTACTTTGGTGTCCGACCTTACGATAAGACCGTCGTAATTCTAAAAATAAAACCGAATTAAGTAACATATTCAAGTGTTACTTCCCACTGATTAATCAATTGTTGATTAAAATTAGAAAAAGTAAATTCACGTTATAGAAGATTTTTATTTAAATGTATTGGCTAAATTTATCTTGATTTCAATGATCATATGGTATTATAACTATTAAAGTCACGACAAATAATTAAAACTGAACTTTGTACTACTTTAATAAATTTGCTTTTGTTAGAACGAGCTCCACGAGTCATTTTTAAAACTATTGTTGGCGGATTATTTAAAGTGCATCAATAATTTTATTTTACTATGTTCAATTAAAAAGCGCTTAATTTTTACATACATGAAAAATATGTTTATCTCTACGGGATGTTTACTCTATCATAGTTGAAAAGTGGACAATTAACTCTTATCATTGTTTGTACAATATGATTTAAAGTTAAAAACAAGATATAAGAGTGTTCAATGATAATGATCTAAAATCATCCGAGAGATGCTTACAAAAATGCTTTCAAGTAGTTAGGAATCTATTTTGTATTATGTATTTTAATTGTAATAAAATAAAAATGAATTGTTAGCTGTTTAACAATTTTTTTCTTATTACCAATAAATGTAGGAGTTATGCGATGAAAATTAAAAACAAATTCATTTATTAAAAAAAATAAACACAAAACAAAACTGCCAATTTAGCTCCGAAAATCCAAAAAAAATAATTTTAATTAAAATTGATGATGTTCAAATAATTTTTAAAAACATTTGTTTAATCCATTTGTTGAAAAAATGTCTGTAAATGCCTCTTATTTCCATGAATTTGAATGAACCTAAATATTTATTAGTCTTCAACTGAACTTTCTGTTGCAAATATTTCTCTTTTTCTCTAACCTTGATGAATGATAATTAAAAACCTATCAGAAAGAAAAATTAATTTTTTTAGTGGTTTGTTACCATTCCAGTATTTCGCACTATTAAACCTACTCATTTCAGTATTTAAAAAATTAAAACAGCATAAAACACTCATTTGCAAGCCAAATCAAATGCAATACATACTAATTAATATTATAATTACTAGTGAAAAAAGGTGCAATTAAATATCATGTCTTTCTGTAGTATTTTTAGCTTAAAACATAAAATTTAACAAAAATTCCTTCTTTACCTTAATTTCTGCAATCAGTTGGTCGACTGGTAGCTTATATTTGCAATCAACTTGTATGGAATGCTTCTCAAGAAGTTTAACACAAGCCGTATCGACGGCATCGGCAACCAAAACCTTTTTAATTTGCATGATAAATACTGATTTGATAAAAGACAATAGATGAATTTCAAATAATGAACATGAACTAAAGGCCGGCAAGGCTCAACAATCCATTTATGAGCAACCTTCAACCGGTCCCCACTCTTGTTTGCTACAAGTTGTTGAAATATAAGACCAGTTTATCGATACGAAATTCAGCTGATAGTGATAAAAAAGAATGAGAATTCCATGGAATTACCTCGCAAGTGCATATTATAACAGAAGAGGGCACTAGGACTATTAGGAGAAGAAGAAGAACATTTTTCTCTTATTAGTAAAAGGAAATGGAGCTGAAATATCTGGGTTTGGCAAGGATAGGGATATTTTTTGTAAAAAAATGGTTGATGAAATTTAATCACGATTGCATTTGTTGTTTCGTTTTAGTCTTGTGATCTCACATTTCGTAATTAATTTATCGTCTTTACGTTCATTTGCAATGACGAAACTGATACTATTGACCCTCACGAAGTGAAAGAGTAAATAAGTCTATCAAAAATAATAAGTAGTACCTAATACTCGTAATTTGGAGATTTGTGGAAAATACAGAAGTATTCCATTTTATACCATAGATTTTTATATTCAAATTTATTAAGATTTTGTGGCTTAGTAATTTGATATTTTTTTTCAATTATTCAACACAATTTTCTTTTTTTTCATTTGAAATATAACTCGTTAAATTAAAAATATAAATGACAGTAGCAAGCTTTTTAAAATCACTGTGAAAGAATTTCATATATTCTCATACATTTTTTTCATTTAACCCATTAACGCCCAGCTTCCTATTTAGAGGACAGATTTCTAAGAATTTTTTTCAACCATTTGAGGGTAAATTAAACAACTTACTCTTATCCCGTCTAAAAATAGACATAATAAACCCTTGTTTTTTTCGCTCAGTTTGTCGCAAACAAGCATTTGATGCACATTACAAATTCGTAAATATTGTAATTTTTTTATTAGCATGCAATATTTCATAGTTTGTACCAATATTATTATATCATAAAAGGTAAATACTTCTTTTTGTCATTTTAGTGAAAAATATAAGTGTATGTGTTGATTGCATTCAACACTTGGACTGAAAATAATTGGTGTTTTTTGCAAAGTGCCATTAAATTCCGGTGTCCTCTAAATAGGACGCTGGGCGTTAAAGGTACGAAAACACAATATTTCTTCAAAAACTTATTTTTAGTGCTTTTTTACAAAAATGTTAAAAAAATCTTTTATAGCATTTGAAGGAGYTGTAAAATAACTAAATTCCAAAGATTTCAAAGCGAAAATTGTAGTTTTGCCTCCTGAGGTCCATAGTCTCCCTGACGGAAAGGATACAAAAGGAGAAAATTTGGAGGATCTGACGCCAACGATTTAGCAGAACGGCTTGCAGTCGAAACAAATCAAGACCTTTTGGATATTACAGTTGTAGGCCATCAGGAATTACATGACATAGAACGAAAACTTTTATGCGATAAAAAAAACGTCGAATTTTTTTATATCCAAATATTTGAGAAAATTTTTGACATTTCTAAAACTGACGACGTCCTAATACAATTTATTACAGCGATACTGATAAGGTTTAGTTACAAATTCTGAGCAGCGTGTGGCAAAGATTTTGATACAATTTTTTTTTTTTGAATTCTGGCAAAGACTCGGCAGAGAATACAAAAAAACCATTAGGAACCAGAGTAGTTTACTAGATGGTACAGGCGGTCGAAACATCAGAAAGTCATTAAAAATTTAAAAAACAATGAAAACATATTTTTTAATTAGAATATTTACTAAAAAAATTAATTAACACGATTTTACCGTTTTCATTTAGGTAACAAATTTGTGTTACTTTTATTCACTCATCTGCCCAACGTCCTATTTAGAGGACAGCCCTTTGTGACAAAACTGTTTCCTAAAAATTTTTGTTTTCTTTAAAACTACACWCTTTGTGAACAAAATAACACATTTTATCAAAAAATTCCATAAAAATATTATTTGGGCGTTAATGGGTTAAAGTTTTAATATTAATAAAAATGATAACTGATATATGAGGTAAATCCTATAAAATTACCTTCTCATTTTTTTTGGCAAAATTAAATAGTACCATGTTTATAATAATATAAAAAAGGTTTTGACGAAAGCGTTTTAATTTTAACAATCAAAACAAGTTAAAAGACAGGGGGAAGAGTTCTATTTAGTATATTCAACAAATAAAAACTTTTTGCGTCAACATTTTATTTTTATTTCAAATTTAAATGAACACTAAATAATTTACACTAAGTTTCCGTTTTTTATTTACATTTTCCTACCCCTTTAATCCCACTGAAACACTGACCCTGGAGTACGACTTTTCACGGGCTTTGCTGGACTAGTTTCCTCACTTGCTATTAGTTTCTGCCCGGATGCAACGATTTCAGGTGGGGCCACTTCACGTCGTGCATCTCTGGTATAATAATAATTATTACTCAAACAATGTGAAGGCCCGTCTGGAAGATTAGGCAATGGTGGTGATCTTGTGGCAATGTCCTCTTGGAATCGCAGTGCCAAAGTATGGGACCTTCCCAGTAAAAAGTCACGAACTTTTTGCAAAAAGGGTGATATATCCCGAATGTTTCTACTCATTTTGACTTGGAAAGAAGACTTATTTCGAAATTTTGGATGTTTTGAATGAATTTATTAGGTTATGTTCGAAAATTGACGTTTGTTGCATAACTGCGCACAATAGACTTCTCGTAACTGCGCATTTATATGCTATTGATAAAAAATTGGGACAAAAATTGGACTTGAATGAAAAAAGAATAATTTTTTATACAAATATATTTGGAAATATACACGAAATAACCTAAACTAGGTGACTACAAAAAAACAACACATTTTCAGACAGTAACCTTTAAACTCTGCTGAAAATAACATGTCCGTAAAATTTAAGTTATCACAGATCATAAAATAGCAAAATCGAGGTTGATAACTTAAATTTACGGCAGATTTCTCATAGAGAATGTAACGAAATTACAAAAAAAATTGAAAAAAGGGACTTTACTGCGTCAACTTTGCTAGAATGTCTGATTCTCGGAAGAGATGATATTCTTGATTTTCCTCAAGTTCTACTTTAGTGCCACCATATTCTGGAAGTAGTACGTCGTCTCCTACTTTAACAGTCAAAGGAACAGTTTCACCATTCTATTAAAAAAGGTCCAAATCAAAAAAAATCCAGTATCAAATCTTTTAACTTACATTATTCCTAGCACCAGGTCCTACAGCCACAACTGTGCCTTTTAAAACTTTGGATTGCGCTTTTTCTGGAATTACAATTCCGCCTTTGGTTTTTGTGACAACTTCGGCTTTTTTGATGAGCACACGGTCGAAAAGAGGAATCAAGCGTTTGGCAGCTCCAGACTTGTATTTTTGATAAATTTAAACATACATTTAATTGTTAAGCGTACACTTACCATTTTTTAAGATTATTTGTGTTTAATTAGGGAAGTAAAGTCTTCGAATCTTCCAGAAACTTGCCGGCAAACACGAGAATCAGCTCGAAACCGATATGCAGGTTATCAAAAGCACACGAGGTTTTCAAGTCTTGAAAAATATGAAAAGCTCTATGATCTATCTTTTTTTTAATTATGCAATTTGTATACAATTGTCTCTTTCTACTTTGTCCGTGATCATTTTCTAGAATAATTGCCGGTAAAACAGAAATCAAAATTTTTTGCGTGTTTGTGCTATTGCCTACTAGAGGACACAAGCTTTTATTTATCATCAAGGCCATCTGAATCAAAAGCTTACCTTTTTGATTCAGATGGTCTTGTTTATCAAAAAATTCAAATTTTGTGAATGAGAACATTATTACATATGCGTAAAAATATAACGAGTGTTTTTTTTAATTTGGCGCTCACGGCAAGAATGGCTAGCTTTGGCGCCAAATTAATTCACAAATACATTATTTTCATCAATAATGTCGAAAGTCTTTCGTTAGTAAAAACTATGAATAAAAACYGTCTTTAGTACTCTTTGGAGGGTGATATAGATTGCTCTCTTAACATATTTATTATATCTGAACGATATTCTCTACATTATCAAACGTTTACAATGTCTAACYATCTAATTAATGACTTATTATTTACAAGTTTGTAAATAAATCCAAGTCCCAAAACAATCTGTGTCTTTGGGTTTTAAAAATCTATAGCATAAAGTTTTTTTTTATTGACACAATTCAGTAAATGATCCCTAGGTATTACAATTTTTTCAAGTCCCTAATGAAAAAGTAAAATTTACATAATATGTAAATATAAATATGTTTAAGGGGTAAATATAAAGTATGGAACCAAGCGGTTTTTTTTTAAATCATTTGCCCCCAGAAAATAAYAATTAATATAAATTAAAGTAATGTAAAAAATGTGATCGTATTTATTTTGAGAACGAAATTTTGTTTTGTTTTTGAGTTATTTCATTTTTTGTCGAAACTGCAATTTATGTAATTTTTTTCTTAAAAAAATAAATATGGAGTAGATAGTTGTAATCCTTAGATCATAACTTTATGAGCAAAATGGTTTTATAGTGGGTTGCCACTGGTTTGGTTTTTTATTCACCTCGCATTTAATTAAAATAAACGACGTATTTGAATTTGTAATAAAAATGATTTCCAATATTGTTGATTTTATTTTATTTATTTATTATTAACAACTTAATATGTTTTTAATTTAATATGTTTTAATTTAATATGTTATAAGGTCATGTTATGTGTTTTAATATGTGATTAATACGGGATATGTCCTAGCAAACATTTTCTTGATCAGTATATTTTTTTAATCATTAGTGATTTTAATTTAAGAACACTTTTGTGGACGATTTTATTTACTCTGCACTGCAGTACCTACGTAATTTAAAGTATGTACTGAAATATTTTTTTCCTTATTTATTTTGTAGATGACAATTTTAAAATACTACCACCAAGTAGAAACTCAAAACTTTGGAAAACTGTACCTAATAATATAAAMAAGAATTGATAAATTTAGATAAGGCCATTATTACAAAACTACATTAACTGATATTTCGTGATTGTTTTGTTGGTGTAACTATTAGCTACCTCCAGTTTCTTTATTTGCCGTGGCTTTTATCCACCGTCAATAAAACATATCTAAAATATAAATGGGTAACACTCGCGCTGATAATATTCGATATGCACCCACTTAATAATTCAAAATCGCCATTAAACGCCGCGTCGATACCACACCATATCACAATAATACTTTCCCGTTCTCTCTTTTTAATTTCGCCTCACATTTTAATCAGTACGGTTTTAATAAAACGGCTGTAAGCAAAACATATTAACTTTTTTCGCGCACAATTTATAATTTTAAGTTATTATAGAAGATGACGCTCCATTATTTATTTTAATTGCATGCGACCAGCAATACCGCGCGCGGAATCTTTTAAGGTCGATTTTAATTAAACCGCGTCAAATTTAGACCGCCAAAACGGAAAAACAAAACAAAAAATAAAAAACGCATCTCTTTAACGGATCGGTGTTTTTAAAAATACTCAAATAATTTTAGGGTGTAAAACGCCCCTACGAAATTTCTGCTTCATTTGGCACGATGCCGAACCGGAGAATGTCCTCGGGGTTGATTAAGTCGTGAGGGCTCTCCGCACGAGGATTCTACAAATTTGTAATTTAATCATACCCGGACTCGAAACAACCCACAACTAATAAATTATTTTTTAATTTAAAGGTTACGAGTAATTGCACACATGCTTACAAAAACTGGAAAGAGAAAAAAATTCATWCAGTATTGTTCGGCAAGAAACAAAAAGAAAGTTTTGTCTAGTTCTTGGTATGTGTATACCTACACAAAAGYTAAAGTGACATTTTGAGTCAGGTTTATATACGCTTGAATTTAAGAAGGAAGTTTAAAAAGCTCTGATTAATATTCGCAACTTGTTTTTGTAAAGCAACAAATAGAAAAATGTCGCAAACTTTAATTTTCTTACTTAATATTAGATTTTGATAAATTATGCTTACATAAAATAAAATAAAAATATTAGGGGATTATAAACTGAGCTTCTTTGATATTTTTTAGTTCTAGCTTTATTATGTAGTTGTATCTAGTCAAGGTGGGTTGAAATCTTGAAAAAAAATCATTTCGAGTTTGAGGTAAATGGGAATGAAGTGGGTGTGTACACATGTACAAAGAAATTCATTTGTTTCTAAATCATTTATTTTATTACAAATAATATCTACAATAAATAATCATTTACAAATTTACAATTTCAAATTTAACGCATTCAGTACGATTTTTTACAATTTATTTACAGACATTTTTCTAACATTGTAAAGCATTTTATAAAATACAAACATAGCTCAAGTCTTTGAAAAGTATGACTAGATAGAAGTCAAATTCGCCAACAGTTAAAATATAACAAAAACCGGTAAAATTTCCACTCGAAAAATCACCATGGCCTCCACATATCACAATTGTCGTTACTTTTACTAAAATCCAGCGGTTTTTCTCCACTCGACTGTTTCGAATTTTCGGAACCATCCCCCGAGGAAGCCCCAGGATCGGCCCCACCTTCATTCGGCCTCAAATTCACTCCTAGAGCGTTGGCTAACTGTAGATAATGCTCCGGGAGCAAAAGGACAAAATTTCCATCATATTTCTTCGCCGCTGTTTCTTCCTTAGCTTCCTCGAGCTGATTTTGATTATTGTTCACTTCTTCGAGGGTCGAGTCCGGGGGTTGGAGCCGCTCTTCAGGGGGTGGCAAGCCCGCATTCCTCACATCCACGTCGACCTCCGCGACGCAGTTGTCCAGRTGGCGGAGCAGGCGTTGGCGCACCCCTGCGTCGATGATGGTCATCGTCTGGGCGTCCGGCGTGTCCAAATAGCGTTGCACCTCACGGACGCAGTCGGCGTAGCCGGCCTTGTACTGGTTCACCCCCTTGACGTCGAGGCTTCGGTGCCGCTGGAAGTGGCGCACGGTGAGCTCGAGGATGTCGGCCTTYTCCAGCTTGGAGTGCTTGGTGTTGTCCGCCTTGGCGGAGTCGAGGATGAGGGTCTTGAGGGCGGCGAGACTCTGGTTGATCCTCGCCCTACGGCGCTTCTCCATGAGGGGCTTGTTGGCTCGGCGCGGTTCGGAGGCTCGTTTACTCTTGGCGGTCATACTAGAGGCGCATCGGAGGCGATGTGTGACGGCGAGAGGACGAGGCAAACTGCTGCAGCACGAGCCGACGAGTGGGCGAGTGCGAGCTGGCAGGCGGCGGTGGCAGTATCGGGGGGTGGTGGCGCGTGCGGTAGCGAGGATCGAGTGCGGGGGAAGGGTGCTGCTTTAGTCGCGTGCCGACACCGCCACATCACACCAACGGATCCGATCAGTGACGCTCAAAATGTTCGAAACAAAAMCTTACTTTTCAAGAAAGMAAAATTAAGTTTAGGGGCGGTGAAAATTCGAGRWGGAGGTGGAGATGAATATGTTTTTGATTTGAGTTAGATTTAACTTGAAACAAATGAGATATCTGAAGACGAAAAGTGTTAATACGTATAATAAATAATTTTGTGATAAGAATATGGTAATTAGTCTTTCGCTTATTCGTTTTGTGTCCTATTTCATTTGCAAACTCCCTTGTTTGTCCTTATATACCCACTCACAAAAATAAAGTCAAAACCTGATTCAGGTCGAGTAATAATAATAATAATGTTTATTGGTGTTAACAATACAAGTATTTTACACAGGTCAAAAAAAAACACAGAAGATAAATGAATGTAAACGAACAAAAGAGAAAACAAAATAGAATTACTTAACATTAAAATATTCAAARTCAGTAAAGTCACATTCCAAATATTCCGCAGTAGAATAAAAGCTTTTGTGAGCTAAGTAATTTTTGACTGSATGAAAGAAATTATTAGGTGGTAGATGCTTGATGTGAACTGGTAGTATGTTATAGAATTTAATAYAAAAGTAATTGATACCATGTCTTGCTTTAGTCAATCGTAGATTATTAAAACAAAGGTCTTCAGTTCTTGTGTTATAGTTATGAAAGGAGTTTAAGATGGTGTAACGATCTTTATTTTTAATTACATATTCTAAACATTTCAAGATAAACAATGAAGGTAAAGTTAGTATTTTAAATTTCCGAAAAAAGTTTTTACAATCTTCACGGTAGGGAATTCCTGCCATCACTCTTACAGCCCGACGTTGTAGTCTGAAAATCCTTGTTGTTAAACCAGTGTGTCTAATGTACTTATAGATCAAGTAAAAATTACCACAAGAAGAACCTAAATCACTTGAGAATGTAAAAAATATGATCCTAAAATTGAAAACCTAAAAAACTCGGATAAGCTCAAATTTAAGGAAAAAAACATCTAGCTGTGTACCCAAATTGAAAACCCTCTAACGTAATACATTCGAACTTAAAACTGAAAAAGGTCAAATATATCTATTATAATTTTTATGCAGTTAACTTAAAAAACTTGGTTTGACGGGCTAATCGTGTTTTTGTTCATCGTTTCCATACCAAAAAGATCCAGGAAGAAGAAAAAAATAATATAGAAAATTGGTTATACAAACAAAGTTTAATACTTGTATTATTAATCAATATGATTATACAAGAAGTAATTTATATTTATTTTACATCTAAAAATACAAAAAAATAATATTATTAAATTGCAAAATCCTGTTCATTTTTTTATTTTTATGGTAGTTGCGAACGTTTTAAATGTAAATAAATGATCGGTCAATATTTGAAGTTTCTATTTCAAACTAAACTAAAACTAATTCAAGTAATTTTAATTCCTTTATTTGACTAGACCTTCCATCCAAGCTTTGCTACGAATATTAATTTTTCAAGCACATCCTTTACTTTTTTACTGAACTAGATATTGATTTTCTACTATCTCCCAACACCTTCGTGTCAGTGTCCAAACATTCATTATTATACCCACCTAATTTAAAATAAAAACGTRTGATCCATTCAAAACTGTAACTACACAAATAAAAATAATCTCCTGGGTATTTAYACCACATTTTCTTCTTTATTATAAAAAAAACTCCATCTTTCTCTCTCGAAATCAGGSTTGAAATGGCTAAAATCCGCGGTTTTAACCACAATTTTCGCAAGTCTTCCACATGAGCCGTATGTGGGGCGTCAAAGCCACCTAGTTTGAAGCCCATATGGGCACTTTTTCTTTAAAAAATCGAAAAAGCGCCACTGTTTGAGAATCACCGTGCTGCGGTTGACGCGGGGCGCCGGGTGGGTCGCTTGTTAGACACGAGACGCGTCAGACACGCGCCGCCTCGTCCACACCGCAGCGTCGCGACGCTACCCAGCTTTATTATTGCTCATTTACCGGCCAACCTGTTCCCTGTGCTGGCGGCGAGGGCATCGTCGTCGTCGTCGTTGTAGACGTTGACGCTAAATATGCCGCGGCCCAGACTCGTATTTTAAATTCGGATATGCACACGAGATTCATTTATTCAGTCTTGAGGCTAGTTTTTCGGGCCGGATCGAGACGTGATCTCCATGTGGAAAGCCTGTTTTGACTGTCGACATGCCCTGGCCAGTTTGCACGTTTTCCTACACTATAAATACTCCATCATGTCAATATTCAATATTTTAGGACCGGACAGGGCCGGAGCTGGTTTTGAAGCTTATTTAATATGGATGGTGGATGAACTATGMGCAAGGAAAAGCGGSGGAATTAATTTTGTTAGTCTATAATTTTTTAGACTGGAGACATAGGATGTTTCAGAATTTGACTTAATTATGGTACAACTGCGTAATTGCTGGACTTGGACTGCAATGCCAATGTCAATAAGACCTTTACAGCACAATAGCTTAGATGTAAATGTCAAAAAAWTAAAAATTAACCTCTTGACCATAGCCAAAATTTCGGTTTAGAACCTTTCTGCAGTTTGTTTTATTTTTTTTCTACAAAGAAGCTTTCGATCTCAGTCAAAAAATTCGACAAAGCTTTTGCTTTCGCTTAAATAAAGCTTAAAAAATCAATTAATCTATCCGAGTGCCACATTTAATTAAATTTCGTTTCGATCGTGACGSCGATATTTGCTGAATTGTCGTTTTAAAGAGGATATGACTGTTAACGATCACCTGGTGCACGTATGTAGGTGACCTCAGAACCGGACGAAATACGCGTTATATATTTACATTATGTGAGGAAAAATTAATGAAGACGTGTTTTATTCATTGCATGGCTCACMTATTGTCTTTTTCGAAGWACATGCTTTTTAGGAAATCCGGCATTATTCTAATGCCTTCGAGCATTGACGTCGGTTTACTTAGCATTATTTTCTCGTAAAAACACAGTCGACATTAGAGGTTTTACTGCAGTTACAATTTCGTATTTTTCAGTATTTTTGATTGCAGAAACTAATATTTTTTCTCTTTTTAAAATACCAATTAAAATTAAAAAAAATGAAAACTGAAAGTATTATTCATGTAGGATGGGTGTAAATGTTTTTGTAAACAAAATATTTATGACACTAATTTGAGATAATATAGAGAATATTGATTTCTACTGGGCGCGTCATTGTTTTTATTATTTTATAGTTTTTGAAAAAAAGTTAGAAGACGAAYACATTCGKTTTACAATATATTGTGTTCATGAAGAATTTCGCTTAGTTTTCCCCTAAATTTCCATCTAAAGCGCACACAARCATTCCTCTTTCTGCAGCATCTCGAAATCGCATTGTTTAAACTTTTGTAGTAATAATCTYCAAATGCGTACATTTCATCCAACTAATGTTSGTAGAAAATAGGAAAACTTTGGCTCCCGATCTAAACCCCGTCCAAATTTCACAACACGTAAACATTGTGTAAAAAGTTCGTCGCACGYTCCTTCTAATTGCCTCATGAAGCGTGAATTTTTCGCTTTGAAATGGGGCATGAAAACGAWCTGGTGGTCTAAATACGTCTCTGTTACGAACGTGGTGCTGGCGTCACGCTAGCGACGCCCTTGCTGGCGGAATTCTCTGGTCGAGTGTTGTCCTTATCTAACCCGAGGGATCCGCATAGACTCTCAGCGCAAAAGACTAATCAATTTCAACGACCACACGAGGCGTTCAACATTCATTTTTGTTAAGTTTCGTCRTCGTCGTGGGTTGTTAGAACCATTCGCGTGACGTGACGATACACCATACGCATTTTTGCTTATTTTCGGATGGTTTACACACGACCGGAGCTTCGCATAAATCAAATCGATAGGCAAATCGGATCAATCGCCAGAACCTCCTGCAGGGCTGGACTGGCCAGTAGCGGGATCCAATCCATTAATGCGATACATGATACACTAATAATAATACATATTAATRATTTATCGGGGTAACAATATAACCCYCAGGAGACAGAAGCAATTTTAGTTAATTAGTTACATATTTTAAAATAAACAAAGAAAAATTTTTACGGAAAAAGCTTTATAGTGGTCRGAAACGTTCAAAAYATGTCAATAACTCAAAAGCGCAATTTTACGCCTTGACAATCACATTGACAAAGAATCTGCAACCTACTCGTATAAGTTGCTCATTTACGATTTTTCGAAATCAATTTATTTAATCGTTATCCAATAATACTTTATGCTTTTTTCCGTATTCCCAAATCCAAAAAAAAATGAGAATCATCGGTATAGCAATATGGCCATATCTGWGTAACAAATTCTTATTGAATGTTTCCGAATGAGTTTTAATTAATGATAAACTAATAAAAAATCATAGTTTGCCGATAATTTTGAAACCTAGTAAAAGGGCCTAAATGTTGATTCTAAACAACTTTTTTTTAATAACTTTTTGTCGTATTTGCACTTGCTATTCGAATTTCACGAGGTCCACAGTCGAATTAAAGAGGCTGTATCGGGTGCGGCATCCGTTAAGCCCAGAAAGAAAATCCCCACTTCTAATTAAATAAAATTGTTGAATTTTTTCACACTTACMTGGGCATTAGTAAGGTACATTCTCTAATTTTTTGGTAATTTTTCATATACAAACAAACCCAAAAAAAATAAAAAGTAATTTTCTCCCAAAAAGTTTGATTCTAATTTTTATACTGACCTGCGCAGATTTACTTCCTACAATTGTTTGYAAAATCAGAAAAAAAATACCAACTAGATTTTGAATTAAATGCAATTTTCCATCACAACTTTGAAAATCATTTTTATTTATGACCTGCTACTTGTGCCATCATAAATTTAGGTGACAATGGGAAATTGCAATTGGGGT